GTAAAAGTAACTTTTCTGCCCAATAAAAAGATGCCATTTATGTATCCTAACACTGATTTTTTCTTACTAAATTTTAGAAATTCACACAATACTAATCGTTCAGCTCCTTTGAGTCACTCCATTTATACTATCCTGTATTCATTCAACTTCGTACTTTGGCTTGTTTTATTTAACCCATTGAAATATGCTTGCTTAAGAAGTGACATAATAAAAGGAATGTCTAGGTAGTCATATCTTGAATATTCCATTGCAAATAACCACACTTCAATAGTCATGGACACCGTCCGCTCCAGTTTCAGGCCTTCCATTTCCCGACTTTTTCAGCACTTTAATGGTATGCCATCGAAAACATGTAAGGAACATACGACGTTCTCCTGCGCCGTTGTTAGTACCTCCGATATTAATTTGGGAACGCTATCATGAAACACACAATAATGCGTTAAATTGACTGACTAGTTATGCGTCTAACTCATTACGTATATTTATAAACATCTTCGAACTTTACTTGATTTTATTCTCGACCACCGAATTCTCGTCAAAACGCAACCTCCACAAAGTACTCCAATTCTTACAGTGAGCATTGGAATCTTATTAATATTCTAATCTGTGAAAATCTGTCCCCTGTTTATTTGGTTAATGGGCATTGTAAAACACCAACCTGAGTGAGTAACTTATTAAAGCCTGCAGCACTCATAACATATTGATCTTACCGGTAAACTGCGCCTTACTAACAACTTGTCAGGCTACCTAGAACAGTATATAAAGCATTAAAAATATATTTGTGCCTAGTTACCAAGTCACGTAAAATCACATAATCTGTTAACGGCTGAGCAACGCAGATGTGCTTCATCTGAGCCGCCCCATTTCTCTAATCTACGTCGATGAATCACGAAGACTGCTTAAGTCATCTACACTTGTTTGCAGATGATGTTAAAGTATAGAGGAAAATAAGTAGTCAGACTGGTCATTTTAATTTCCAAACTGATCTAGACGGACTGATTTCATAATCCCAAAGTCCAGGTTTGGAAATTAATTTTAGAAAGCGTGCTAGTGTACACTGGACACGGCATCTGTTACTAGTATAATATAAACGGCAGGTCACTTTCATGAATGCAGAAAAAATAGTAGTAGTAAGTTGTGTATCGAGAACAACTACACACTGATATGCAACCGCTGCAAAAGATTTTGAATGTTGTGGTCATTTCATCTAGTATTCCAGTGCCTTGATGAAGACATATTTCGGGCTTTATATTTAGACTACGAGGCCTCACTTAGAGAATTGCAGCCAAGTAGTAAGTCCTACTCATATTAGGAATCCTATCACATTCAGTGGACAGAACACACATTGAAGAAAGCACCCACATAAAGTCCTTACTTGGAATCCTCAAAATTAAAGGAAAAGAGGAAGACCAAAGAAAACATTACACGATCTACTGAAAGAAGAAGAAACTACTATGGAGGACAACTCGGAAAGTATCAAAGAAGCATTAATTCCAACGTGTCAGGAGGTTCTGGCCCTCAAGAAGCATCATCATAAGGAATCGATCTCTATAGAAACACTGGACAGGATCAAAGAAAGGAAGAACAAGAAGGCAGGAATTAACAACAGCCGAACACGAGCAGAGAAAGTCCAAGCACAAGCCGAGTACATAGAAGCAAACAAGCAAGTGAAGAAGAGCACTAGAGCCGACAAGCAGAAATACATGGAAGAACTAGCATCGATGGCGGAAAAAGCTGCAAGAGAAGGAAATATGAAACAGCTTTACGATACAACGAAGAGACTAGCAGGGAAATATAGTAAACCAGAGAGACCGGTCAAAGACAAAGAAGGCAGGCCAATCACTGAAATTCAACAACAGAAGAACAGATGGGTAAAGTACTTCGAGGAATTCCTGAATAGGCCGACCCCAATGAATCCACCAGACATCGAAGCAGCGCACACAGATCTTCCTATAGGTGTCAATCCACCAACGACGGAAGAAGTCAGAATGGCCATCAGACAAATCAAGAACGGGAAAGCAGCAGAACCCGACAACATATCAGCTGAAGTCAGACATCGAAGTAACTACAAACATGCCTTACCTTCTATTCAAAAAGATTTGGGATGAGGAACAAGTGCCAATGGACTGGAAAGAAGGACACCTCATCAAGATTCCAAAGAAAGGAGATCTAAGCAAATGTGAAAACTACAGAGGCATTACACTACTGTCAGTACCAGGGAAAGTCTCTAACAGAATGCTGCTAAACCGGATGAGACTCAGTAGACGTCCAACTTTGAGACCAACAAGCTGGATTCCGGAGGGATCGGTTGTGCACAGACCAAATGGCGACACTACGGATCATCGTCGAACAATCAATTGAGTGGAACTCGTCACTGTACACCAACTTTATTGGTTATGAAAAAGCATTTGACAGTGTAGATAGGGGAACCTTATGGAAACTCCTTCAACACGGAGTTCCTGAGAAGATTGTCAACGACGGGCTATAGTGCAAAGTAGTGCATGGAGGACAGCTGACAGACGCATTCCAAGTAAGGACCGGAGTCAGACAAGGCTGTCTACTCTCTCCCTTCCTCTTTCTTCTGGTGATCGACTGGATTATGAAGACCTCGACATCTGAGGGAAAACACGGCATACAATGGACAGCTCAGAACCAATTAGACGGTCTGGACTTCGCAGATGACCTAGCACTCCTATCGCGTACACATGAACAAATGCAGATAAAGACAGTCAATGTAGCAGCAGTCTCTGCATCAGTAGGCCTCAACACACACAAGGGGAAAACCAAGGTCTTCAGATTCGAAACGAAGAACAACAATCCAATCACTCTTGATGGCGAAACTCTGGAAGATATAGCATCCTTCACATGCCTGGGGAGCATCATCGATTAACAAGGAGGTTCAGATGCAGACGTGAAGTCGAGGATTGGCAAAGCAAGGGCCGCATTCCTACAATTGAAAAACATATGGAACCCAAAACAACTTTCAACCAATATCAAAGTGAGGATCTTCAATATCAACGTCAAGGCAGTTCTACTGTACAGTGCTGAAACTTGGAGAAATACAATAACCACCATCAAGAAGGTACAAGTATTTATAAATAGCTGTCTACGCAGGATACTCAACATCCATTGGCCGGATACCATCAACAACAGCCTTCTGTGGAAGAGAACACACCAGCTTCCAACTGAAAAGGAAATTAGGAAAAGACGATGGAGATGGATAGGACATACATTACGCAAATCACCGAACTGCATCACGAGGCAAGCCCCAACCTGTAATCCTGAAGGGAAGCGTAAAAGAGGAAAGCCAAAGAACATTACGTCGGGAAATCGAGGCAGATATGAAAAGGATGAATAACAACTGGGAAGAGCTGGAAAGGATCGTCCAGGACAGGGTTGAATGGAGAGTGCTGGTGAGCGGCCAATGCTCCTTCACGCGTGACAGGAATAAGAACTTAAGGAAATAAGTGACAACTTGGACTGAAATACTTCGCGGATATCGTCTTAGAAGTCTCAAAGCAAGTGAGTTTCCTGTCTACTTGTAACCGATTTAAGTCACATTGTTAATAACATAAATCTATCCCAGTCATCTGTCTTTGCGATTTTCAGTCGTTTCCGTAACAACCACTGACGTGTCGAATTATGGTCTTTTATGGTTTGAGTTCTGCTTTAATAATAGACTTAATCCTAAACTTGTAGATTTGTCATATTGTAACTGCCTAATCAATAAGATGTCACGTGGAATTGACATTATTATCTACACCAATCATCAGTATATGGTGAAGAACACACTTAGGCTAGAGGTGGAACAATATATTTAATATGAATAAAAGGTATATGTTAACACTCATTAATGACAACGCCTGAAAGACCGAGCCATGCCATTCGATGGATTCGGACTATTTAAATTCATTGTTCCCGCCCTCTCCATCGTTGGGTTTTTCTACGCTTTAAATGTTGAATACGCATTTTCCCAGTTGTATCGTGTTCATCTTGTGTAGTTAGGGCCCAATGCCACTATTGACGTACACTTATTGAAAACATCAACTGTTCTATAGCTGGATCTTAGTATGAGAACAGAAATAACTCTTATTCATAAAAATAGACGAAAAATTTAAAGTAAACCTTCTCACCATAATGTAGCAACGCAAGGAGTCATGGGATAGTTCAAAGTTCGCTATTTTGACAAGACCCTTGTCATTCATTAAGAGTTTGGAGATTTTTAAGTCCCTGTGGATTATAAAGTTTTCATGAAGGTATTTCAGAACTTTGGAAATCTGAAGCATGATGCATTCACATTCAGATAAACAAAGCATATAAGCAGACCAGAGAAGGTAAACATGCCAATCGCTACAATACTCATTACAAGCGTCAGTACAGCAAAAAATAGATAGTGTGTAGCGCAGCAAAGCGACACACTATATGAAATAATAAGTGACAGAGAAACATACACAAAGCACATAGATGAAGATACACAAGGTCGTAAAAATAAGGTGTGTGTATGTAATGGATACGATGTGCTATGAAAACAATAGTCATCGTGATGTTAAGAATGACGCGAAGTCAGATGCTGTTCGATTTATCAAGGTCTCTTCGAAAGCTATGATTAATCATTTAAGTGTGTATTAGCACTTGACTCTACAAGACCAAAAACCAAGACCACACAAAGTACCGGTGTCATACAGGTTCACCAACAGAGTAATCAACTCAGTAGTCAACTACTGAAAGAAATGATGTCCGTAATTTCAAATGATTCTTTCAAGATATCTCTAGCTACTCAGTGAAGTTGAACAGAAAAGGACTACCAAAAGCAGTCGCCCTCTGTCCTTTGTGCACATATATGAATCTATCGTTATGGCGGGACAGTGAAGCTGAACGTTTAGGCAGTTAGTTAGAAGTTAATTGAGCTGGGAAAATACGCGCATCTCATAGGGGGATTTACTCCAACAGCAATTCCAGCCAACTGTTTAAGTTGTTTATCACACGATTCTTTAAAGAAAATGACTGATGGCAATGAGAAACTTAAACAAATGGAGGAGGAGATGGATAGGTATCCAGTGTGAGACAGCTTAATTTGTTTTTGAATATAGATTCGAGGCTGAGATTGCTCATCAGTCGTCGGGCAAGACACCGAATAATATTCCAATCTCTGGCGGATTTACATTCCCTCCTGTTACTAACTTTATGCCTCCCCAGTTACGTGTTCATCAAAACCCGACCAACGTCGTGCAGCCAGTTTATTCGGGTAATCACAATTTTTAATGTAAAGTGTTATTTGACAAAATTCCAACCATAAAATTAGTAGCAAAAGGAGAGTAATTTTTCATAGTGGCATTTTGCTGTACACGAAAGGGAATTTGTAACATCCAGCAGCTTACAAGAGCAAGTCCTTGAAAACGCTTCATTCCTAATGAATGCATTATTTCACTGACTATGGACTGCTTAATTGGTAAAGTTAACAAAAAAGTGGCTATATACCTGTATCATTGTAGGTGACGGAAATAAATTTGATTGTCTTTCTACACAGCAACAAGGATAAAAGTATGAATGAACTATTTCAACACATTTCGACGCCTGTTGATCCATCGTAATAAATCAACACGTTTAAATCCCTGGTGCATAAAAACCAAGAAGTTTATACAGGAAGTAAAAAACATGATGGCAAACATGTGCTACCAAGTTGAAAGCAGAAGATTCCTCTGGAAACTTCTAAAAGTTACCCAATTTTTTTCAACACTTGCAGAAGTTTTATTTCATGTACTTAAACACACATTGGTACAAGAAAGCACCAAATACATATGCACCACACAAGTCACTCGACTTGTTCGCTCAGGATCCTAGAGCCCATGTGCACCACTGATTTGGAACCATGGTTTTCTAACTCCCCTAGGTGGATTCTCCGTATCTACCAACCTGGTTAGAGCGTCGAACATTCGCTTTTTGTCCTCTCAATTTCGTAAACATTATCTTTGCCTTGAGAAGGGAGTGAGCAGTACTTCCTTGTCAGAGGTTGTATACACGTGGCCATATGAGAGCATCTCGAGAGGGATAGTTGACTCTAAGCACTCTCGGTCGTACCAGGGCATTTGGGAGAAGTCGTGTCTGGAGTAATCTGTGGGCTTAGTAACAGGTTTTTTATCGTTTACTAAGCGAACCACCTAAAATAGTTCAGATTGCTTGCCAAACCAATAACTTTGACTTGTATTCTCCGTACTCTTGGTAGTATAATATTTAATTTTACTGTAGATGAATTTCTTGAATAAGTACTTATAATGAATGTTAGTCAATTAAGCTATATATATATATATATATATATATATATATATATATATAATGTTTTTAAAACCTAAATTAATACAAAGACCCAAAATAGTACGGTCAATTACTAAGGGAGCAATAACGACGCCTACTGAACGTTAACAGGGACTCAACAAGATGAACCAATGAGTGTTGGTGATTTTCGTAAGGAAAAGGTGTGATTCCATAATTGGTGGTTAATTAAAAGATAATAACCTGTCTGAGAATAAAAGTCGATCAATGTTAGCGGTCGGTATGTCTTAATGTAACTGAAGAAATCACGATCTTCACATAAACGCAACTTATAAAGCACCTTTATAAGTCATGAGGTTATTGGAGGAATAGATGCATTACTACCTTATCTTTCAACTGTTAAATTATAAGTTGGAACTCTGTCGTACTTCATTTTGGATTACCTGCTGGTGTCAACAGCCCTCACAACGAAGGCGTGGCTCAAAGCCAAGTGTTGAAAGTTTCCCAATCTACAATTTTGTGACGTAATTTGTTTACCAGATACAGGTTTATGTACTTGGCTTTGAAGGATAATCTGCTTGTTTTAAGGTGATGATTCTTTCCAATCGCCCAAGGAGATTTAAGTGGGGTGTGAGTCGGTGATGTGGACTTGTGAATTCTACTTCGAGTGTGCTAACAGAATTCTCTTACGGCCTGGTGGTGTACTCGTTGCTCAAATCGCACTTGACCAGTTGTTGAGCAACTAGAATTATGAGACATGCTGTACACCATTGAAATAAAATCTGAATCTGGTAAATTAGAGAGAGCCTGCGCATGCATCTAATCTTAGTTATAAGCCATTTGCATCATTGGAAAAGGTCGTATACTGACGGTGCAACAAACAAAATCAACCTGTCCAGTGAAATTCCGTTAGACTTATGCTAATCTATGCCATCTTGTACCTACTTTCATGAGATATTGCCTTCGAAGTTTTCTCAAACTGCTTGAAACCTTACTACCAACTAGTGACTGATTTCTTTCATGCATCATTTTTACGAGAGAATATTTACAATGGACGTTATCAATCGTACCTTTGGAAATTATACCTCACCGAGTTGTATTTAGCCTGGTTACGATTGTATAAGTGAACTAACTCCTACAATCCATAGTTTCTGCTAGGTATATTAGTAGTAAAAACCTTATCAGCTGAAGGATATATTTTATTTTCCTTGAATTTGAACTGTATGAAGCAATATATATATGAAATGTCCTACTATCATTTAACATATGTCCTCTCAGCAGCTGCTCAACTTCTCTCTTACAGTCTTACCACTGCCTCCCGGGGTTCCCATGTTTGTTCCCCTTTCTCAACCTCCTGTGTCTTGTTACCATATGAATGTCGCTCACACGCAGTTGCCGCCATCAAATCCTGTTTTCATGCCTTCAAAGGCATCTAATATGTCGATCCCAACACCAAAAGTGGAAATGTCTCCCGTTTCATCAGTTAACAAAGAGACTGTTAGTGAACATAACCCAACTCAAAAAGTTATATCTGCCCCACCACAAATGGCTGGACCAAACGAGTTAGCGGCACGAGCCAAGCAAGCCGCTGCGGCGGTTGCAGCTGCCAAGTCTAAAGCTGAAGACGAAGACGATGATGTTACTCGAGCATTGCTAGCTGCGGCAGCGGGAGTTACTTATACTCGAGTTCAGGGCCCAGATGGAAAAGGCAAGTTCATTACATATGCTACGTAGACATTTTATTTAATTGTTACTAAATTATAGTGACCATTAGACTTGTAATTTTTTTGGAACTGGTGCTTACAACATACAGTGATGTTATACTTTTCCACCCTCTATACAGTTTTATGAGATCAAGTTAGTGTTAATCATGAGCGTTGTCTGAAATATCATAACTCGTAATTTTATGTTTGGCTCTCACAATAAGATCATTTTTCTAATCTTTAAATAAACTCTCTTTTAATACTGTTTCTTGGCATTCCAGAAATGAAAATCTATTATCAGATTAAAACTTACTATTGTACAATTAATTACTAGACCGAAAGATAAGCGGATATATCAATATTATTAATAGAATTAAATTCAGTATGTATCATGGGGTTTCTTCCTACATAGTTACTTGAATAGTTTTGATCAGCTAATAATAGAAGTTTCATCTGATGTCGTCATGGCTATGTAGAAAATAAGGTACTTCAAGCAAACATTCTTTATCCAATCGTATAGCTGTTTTTAATCTGATTTAATCTCGTTCAAAATATTTTAAATCGAATTTCATATAAGAGAAGTACCCACCTTTTGTTCACTCAGTGTAATACCTTATCTTTAACATGAATAAAGACCAGATCCAGACCCAACTCACCATGCAGAAAATTTCCTACTGTCATACGTCACACTTATCTGATCATTTTTAGTCTTGTAATTTATTAAATCATATTCATGCTCGACTCTAATGTATACGTGCATTTATAGACTATCTGTCTTAAAGTTAACAAGCGGGTCTGTCAAGTATCGACGATGGTTGAACAGGCTAAGGTCACTAACCTTTTGTGTTGTCCTCATATATCACGACCAAATTCTTAAAACGGTCGTTGCTGTAAACTACTTTGCTCATTTTATCAGTGGAATTTTGTGAATTTTCGCGAAATGCTGCACGACGAAAATGCCGATTTTCGGTTTCAAGAACAGCATCCTAATTTCATACTATTACTTCCTAAAACCTGCAGCAATATTAATTGTAAACTTTCCGCAAACGACTAAAATCTAACATATCTTTCCATGGGACAAGTAGAATAATTATGCTGTAGACAAATAATGTACCTTAGTCCATTGACGTTTTCAGAGCTACATTCTACTGTTGTTCATTGGTATATGTTTGTATCTCAAATTTAACATTTTCCAGAAAAGGTTTTAGCAAGTATCACTAAACCTCCGCTAACACCAGTCGTTACACAATCGAGTAAAAAATCAAAGCTAACCGATCTCAATACAGATACGGAAGTGAACAAAGTAACACAAACAACAATATTACCTCCGGTAGCACCTACAATTTATCGTTCTGCTAGTACAACTACAAATGATCAAGTCTATAAAAAGAAAAAGTACATTCGCACAGCTGCTGGAGCCACTTGGGAAGATCCGACTTTGGTTGAATGGGATCCAAGTAAGGTGCTTATTTTATTTACCTAACTTGTAGTATACGCATTTTATTGTTTTTTTGTACTCGTCAGCTTAATTTATGCAAACAGGAGTGTTTGTAGCTACATGTTTATTAAATAGTTTCATCTCCACAAAGTATGTAGATAAAAACTAGTCTTATTTATCAGAATGGCTTATTTACTCAAGATAGAATTGGATTGATATAAGTCAAACATAATGCATGTACTGTAGGCAACTAATGTAAAGTAACAAGTTGAAAGTCAAGTATTTTAGGGCAAATAATCAACAAAATGTAGAATTGTAGGTAGATTTGACTAGCAGTGATTACATTCAGTGTGATGGTGTGAACAACTTTTCCTATTGGGATGTTCATGGAACGGTAACCGTGTAAATCTTTAGTGATAATGTATTCTTCGAATTATGTAAAACCCATAGAATGTTTTTGTTGAAGTCATCCACGCAAGCTACGAATATTTCACATAATCTCACACTAAAACGTATAAGTCTACCAAAAAACTATCTAAGGAAGTTTTATTTGTTGGTTGTGTGACTAGATTTGGTCAGAAATTGAGTACCGAGCTTATGGAAGATATTACTTACTTACTTACGCCTGTTACTCGTGAAGGAGCATTGGCCGCTCACCAGCACTCTCCATTCAACCCTGTCCTGGACGATCCTTTCCAGCTCTTCCCAGTTGTTATTCATCCTTTTCATATCTGCCTCGATTTCCCGACGTAATGTTCTTTGGCTTTCCTCTTTTACGCTTCCCTTCAGGATTACAGGTTGGGGCTTGCCTCGTGATGCAGTTCGGTGATTTGCGTAATGTATGTCCTATCCATCTCCATCGTCTTTTCCTAATTTCCTTTTCAGTTGGAAGCTGGTGTGTTCTCTTCCACAGAAGGCTGTTGTTGATGGTATCCGGCCAATGGATGTTGAGTATCCTGCGTAGACAGCTATTTATAAATACTTGTACCTTCTTGATGGTGGTTATTGTATTTCTCCAAGTTTCAGCACTGTACAGTAGAACTGCCTTGACGTTGATATTGAAGATCCTCACTTTGATATTGGTTGAAAGTTGTTTTGGGTTCCATATGTTTTTCAATTGTAGGAATGCGGCCCTTGCTTTGCCAATCCTCGACTTCACGTCTGCATCTGAACCTCCTTGTTAATCGATGATGCTCCCCAGGTATGTGAAGGATGCTATATCTTCCAGAGTTTCGCCATCAAGAGTGATTGGATTGTTGTTCTTCGTTTCGAATCTGAAGACCTTGGTTTTCCCCTTGTGTATGTTGAGGCCTACTGATGCAGAGACTGCTGCTACATTGACTGTCTTTATCTGCATTTGTTCATGTGTACGCGATAGGAGTGCTAGGTCATCTGCGAAGTCCAGACCGTCTAATTGGTTCTGAGCTGTCCATTGTATGCCGTGTTTTCCCTCAGATGTCGAGGTCTTCATAATCCAGTCGATCACCAGAAGAAAGAGGAAGGGAGAGAGTAGACAGCCTTGTCTGACTCCGGTCCTTACTTGGAATGCGTCTGTCAGCTGTCCTCCATGCACTACTTTGCACTATAGCCCATCGTTGACAATCTTCTCAGGAACTCCGTGTTGAAGGAGTTTCCATAAAGTTCCCCTATCTACACTGTCAAATGCTTTTTCATAACCAATAAAGTTGGTGTACAGTGACGAGTTCCACTCAATTGATTGTTCGACGATGATCCGTAGTGTCGCCATTTGGTCTGTGCACAACCGATCCCTCCGGAATCCAGCTTGTTGGTCTCAAAGTTGGACGTCTACTGAGTCTCATCCGGTTTAGCAGCATTCTGTTAGAGACTTTCCCTGGTACTGACAGTAGTGTAATGCCTCTGTAGTTTTCACATTTGCTTAGATCTCCTTTCTTTGGAATCTTGATGAGGTGTCCTTCTTTCCAGTCCATCGGCACTTGTTCCTCATCCCAAATCTTTTTGAATAGAAGGTAAGGCATGTTTGTAGTTACTTCGATGTCCGATCGAAGCTGCTACCTTGACGCGGTGGTCGGGCTTGCCTATCGTGATGACCCAACCGAGCTATATTGGCTGGAACATATGTTCCTGCAGGTTCTACCATGCCAGGCAGGTCGATTGGCGAACGGTAAGACTAAAAGCAGCAACTCAAGGTCTGAGGGCGAAGTCGTACTGCTGACTGTAGAGAGGTGTGACAGCAGTAAGGTGTTTCCCTCGGACAACCAGCATGACAGCGATGCTGCCTTCCCACAAGGAGGGGTGGGGTTAGAAAAGGTCGACCCTAAAAATGCACACCTCACCTTACCTCACGGATTTCCGTTTCCGGCGGTAAGGCCCTTGAAGAACGGAGCTAACACGTCAAAAACCTTCCACAAAAAGGCCGTGCGCGACCGGCCTCAAGCAGTTGTCCCTTGGGCTCTGCGGTCACGCTCCCAGGTCGTCAAGACCAGCACTAATCCAATTTCCTTTTCAGGTTCATCAAGAAATACCCTTCCACGGTGTGGGCAGCCGGGAAGTGACATCAGCCCTCATACCCGTAACAGCACACGAGACAAAGTTGGTCACATTCAAATCCTTCCTACACCTCCTAATACCTCTCTTATCCTCCCGACTAACCCTCCTCACGTCTCTTTATCACCTCGCACCGCTAGGGCAAACGATTCGAGTACGTGGAACGCTATTCCTGGTCTCCTGAAACCACGCTCTAAACTACACGTAGGAGCTTTTAACGTACGAACACTTTGCCAAATAGGACAGCAGGCTTCTTTAGCTAGGACTTTAGAATCTCGCGCCATCGATGTGTGCTGCGTCTCCGAAACGCGCATACAGGATCCAAGTAGCGTCATTCATTTGACCTCACCATGCCAAAATAAAGAACTGACTCGATTTACGCTTCGTGTATCTGGAAGCCCTGATTCTGCTTCCCGTGGCCTCGCCGGCGTAGGTATAGCATTGAGTCCTAGGGCAGAACTAGCTCTCTTAGAGTGGATCCCAGTAACAGTCGTTTGCGCGCTGTTCGACTAAACGGAACAGTAAGGATCCGGAAAGATAGGGACACTCGTCGTTGCCTCTTCGTCGTCTCTGCCTATTCTCCCACTGACTGCAGCTCAGATGATGTAAAAGATGAGTTTTACAGAAAGCTTTCGGACCTTCTCCGAAAAGCTAAGCGCTCGGATGTAGTAATAGTGGCCGGTGACTTTAATGCTCAAGTAGGTAAACTAAGCGATAAGGAAAGACACCTAGGTGGATCCTATGGTGTCGTGGCTCAAAGAACAGATAATGGCGACCGTCTGTTGCAGCTATGCTCAGATAACCGCCTGTTCCTTGCAAATACTAACTTTAAGCATAAGGAAAAACATCTTTTGACATGGCGACCCCCTAATTCGTCCCAACGTTGGACCCAAATAGATCACATCGCTATCAGCCACCGCTGGAGGGGCTCGATAGAAGACTGTCGCTCATTCTGGAGCACATGCCTAGATTCAGATCATGCTCTAGTGCGAGCGCGTATTTGCTTGCGTCTTACTGGACGTAGGAAAGATCCTGCAAGGAAACCTCTTAGGGCCTACTTAATGATAGTCAAGCTAAGAATATATTTCAGGAACAACTAGGAAAACAGTTAGGCAGCCATGTATGTGATGCCCACCCCGAGGCAGCATGGAACGATATCCGAAAAGCTGTGGAAACAGCAGTGATATCTGCTAGTAAGGTAAACCGTAAAGTTAGGGAGCAACACTGGATCTCAGCAGCGTCTATCGCACTGATAGATGCTCGAAAACTCATTCCACCTGGCTCTGAACATAATGAAGAGCGGAGTCAGCTTAAGCGCAAGCTGACAAGAAGTCTACGCAATGATCGCGAACAGTGGTGGGTAGCGAAAGCAAGAGAGATGGAAAAGGCAGCGGCAATAGGTAATAGCAGACAATTGTTTAGACTCGTTAAGGAAACCGGAATTAGGAACCCGACCGTTAGCGAAACAATCTCAGAGAAAGATGGACATATTATTCATTCTCAATCCAGGAGATTGGATCGATGGGCAGAACACTTTAGGGATCAGTTCAACTGGCCTTCAGCCACACTTCGGTTTCCCACGATCTCCAGTCAACCTGAATGGCAAGTTAGTGTGGGTCCTCCGTCCCTTTACGAAGTTGAAAAAGCCATAGGAAATCTGAAACGAGGGAGAGCAGCAGGCCCTGACAGGTTTACTCCTGAGATTTTTAAGGATGGTGGTCCAGTATTAGCAATGAGATTAACTGAGGTCTTAGGTATAATTTGGGAACTGGACGTAATCCCATCTGACTGGTCTCAATCACTGATTGTGCCAGTTTTAAGAAAGGACAAAAGTCCTCTTGTGACAATCACAGAGGAATCAGTTTGACTAATATAGTGTCTAAAATATTAGCCTCAATAATACTTCGACGCCTAACTAAAGCTCGTGAAGAGCAGACTAGAGAAAACCAGGCTGGTTTTCGACCTGGACGTGGTTGTATAGATCAGATATTCACACTACGTCAGGTTCTAGAACACAGACACACATTCAGACGCCCCACAATGGTAGTATTTCTCGACCTTAAGGCGGCATTCGACTCCGTTGATCGTGAGGTTCTATGGCAGTGTTTGTCACTGAAAGGAGTACCAAAGAAGTACATCAACCTTATAAAGGCTCTCTACTCGAACACAACTGGTAGAGTGAGAGCTTATGGCGAACTGTCATCAGAATTGATCACCTCAAGTGGTGTTCGTCAGGGCTGTCCACTCTCCCCATTCTTGTTCAACTTTGTGGTCGACGTACTTTTAGAGATAACACTCTCCTCATCTAAATTTCCAGGGGTTGAACTTGTACCGGGAGGTTCACTTGTTGACTTAGAATATGCAGATGACATAGTTTTATTTGGTGAAGACGCTGACAAAATGCAGAGTCTTCTGACCACTCTAAGCAACAATGCAAGCATGTTCGGGATGCGATTCTCTCCCTCGAAATGCAAAATGTTGCTTCAGGATTGGGTTACATCGACACCCGAACTAGTGATAGGGAGTGAAGTAGTTGAGTGTGTCGACCGCTTCACTTATCTTGGAAGTCTCATCAGCCCTTGTGGTTTGGTGTGTGACGAAATCTCAGCACGGATACAGAAGGCTCGACTAGCTTTTGCCAACTTGCGTCATTTATGGCGTAGGCGAGATATCCGTCTATCAACCAAAGGACGTGTTTACTGCGCAGCAGTTCGTTCCGTCCTACTTTATGGCAGTGAAACATGGCCGGTAAGAGTAGAGGATATCCGTAGGTTACTAGTATTTGATCATAGGTGTCTTCGAAACATTGCTCGTATATCATGGGACCATCGAGTAAGTAACACAGTTGTTAGGAAACGGGTACTAGGTAAGGATGGCAAATCAATTGATGACGTAGTGAAACTTCATCAGTTGAGATGGCTGGGACACGTGTTACGTATGCCCAACGACCGACTGCCTCGACGTGCTATGTTCAGTGGTATAGGAGTAGGTTGGAAGAAAGCTAGGGGCGGCCAAACCAAAACATGGCACAAGTCCATGAAGTCACTGACAAGTGGACTGAGTCATATTGGTAGGTGTAGACTACCTGGTTGGGGACCGCGAGATGATAGCAACCGATGGTTAGAGACCCTGAATGACATGGCTCAAAATCGTTTGCAATGGCGCAGGTGCATCCACTCTCTGTGTTCTCCCAAACTCTAATCTTCTGAATTCTTCATGTCCCTTTTTTTCTCTTTCCAAATTTCTTTCACTGGATTATACTCTTTAAATAACATCTCCAAACCCTAATCTTCCCGATTACTACTTATACTCTTATTACCTCTATCACTACGGGATTTGAATCGACCATTGCATCTCTGTGCTAATGTGGTGTGGCAACTCGAACTGATGTACGTACGTACGAAGTTCTACGTTGTTACTGACTGACTGACTGACGATGTCTGACTTCAGCTGATATGTTGTCGGGTTCTGCTGCTTTCCCGTTCTTGATTTGTCTGATGGCCATTCTGACTTCTTCCGTCGTTGGTGGATTGACACCTATAGGAAGATCTGTGTGCGCTGCTTCGATGTCTGGTGGATTCATTGGGGTCGGCCTATTCAGGAATTCCTCGAAGTACTTTACCCATCTGTTCTTCTGTTGTTGAATTTCAGTGATTGGCCTGCCTTCTTTGTCTTTGACCGGTCTCTCTGGTTTACTATATTTCCCTGCTAGTCTCTTCGTTGTATCGTAAAGCTGTTTCATATTTCCTTCTCTTGCAGCTTTTTCCGCCATCGATGCTAGTTCTTCCATGTATTTCTGCTTGTCGGCTCTAGTGCTCTTCTTCACTTGCTTGTTTGCTTCTATGTACTCGGCTTGTGCTTGGACTTTCTCTGCTCGTGTTCGGCTGTTGTTAATTCCTGCCTTCTTGTTCTTCCTTTCTTTGATCCTGTCCAGTGTTTCTATAGAGATCAATTCCTTATGATGATGCTTCTTGAGGGCCAGAACCTCCTGACACGTTGGAATTAATGCTTCTTTGATACTTTCCGAGTTGTCCTCCATAGTGGTTTATTGTTCTTTCAGTAAATCCTGTAAGGCTTGGAACCTGTTGTTGACAGCTATCTTGAATTCATTGAGTTTGTCAGTATCTCGAAGGATATCCGTAGGCTACTAGTATTTAATCATAGGTGTCTTCGAAACATTGCTCGTATATCCTGGGACCACCGAGTAAGTAACTCAGTTGTTAGGAAACGGGTACTAGGTAAGGATGGCAAATCAATTGATGAAGTAGTGAAACTTGATCAGTTGAGATGGCTGGGACACGTGTTACGTATGCCCAACGACCGACTGCCTCGACGTGCTATGTTCAGTGGTATAGGAGTAGGTTGGAAGAAAGCTAGGGGCGGCCAGACCAAAACATGGCACAAGTCCATGAAGTCACTGACAAGTGAACTGAGTCATGTTGATAGGTGTAGACTACCTGGTTGAGGACCGCGGGATGATAGCAACCGATGGTTAGAGACCCTGAATGACATGGCTCAAAATCATTTGCAATGACGCAGGTGCATTCGCTCTTTGTGTTCTCCCGAATTCTAAACTCCTGAATCCTCCTTGTCTCATTGTTCTCTTCCCAAATTTATTTCACTGGATTATACTCCTTGAATAAAATCTTCAGACCCTAATGTTTCTGATTACAACTTATAATTTTACTACATCTAGCACTACGGGATTTGAATCGACCACTGCATCTCTGTGCTAATGTGGTGTGGCAACTCGAACTGATGTACGTACGTACGAAGTTCTACGTTGTTACTAACTGACTGACTGACTGTATCTCGAAGGAAGGCTGTATTGAACCTTTGTAGTGCTGATTGTCCAGTTCTTCTTTAGCTTCAGTCTTAAATTGACCAAAACTAGGTGGTGATCTGAAGCTATGTCAGCTCCTCTCTTGGTTCTCACATCTTCCATTTTCCTTCGGAACTTTTTATTGATGCAAATATGATCTATCTGGATCTCCGTGGTGTGGTCTGGTAAGATTCATGTAGCTTTATGTATACGTTTGTGTGGAAATATTGTTCCGCCTATGACCAATTTATTGCAAATCTTTCCCCATTTTCGTTTCTCTCTCCCAGTCCATGTCGTCTCATGATATCTTCATATCCGGTGTTGTCTATTCCGACTTTGGCGTTTAGATCTCCCATCAGAATGGTGAGGTCGTTTTTTGGGCATTTCTCTATGATTGACTGCAGCCGCTCGTAGAATCGCTCTTTAATGTCGTCGTTGTTATCATTGGTGGGTGCATAACATTGTTTAATATTCATTGTGATCCCCTCCTTCTTTGTTTTGAATGATGCTTTGATGATTCTGGATCCGTGAGATTCCCATCCTACAAGTGCATTTTGTGCTACTTTGGACAGCATTAGAACAACTCCCTGAGTGTGTGGAGCATTTTCCTCTTCGTGGCCGGAGTATAGCAGCATCTCTCCCGTATTTAACCTTTTCTGTCCAGCTTGGGTCCAATGGGTTTCGCTGATTCCCAGTACTGCCAAGTTGTATCTCCTCATTTCCGTTGCTATTTGACTGGTCTTCCCGGTCTCCCACATTGTTCGGACGTTCCATGTACCTATAAAAATTTTCGCTCTGGTTGTTAGAAAAGGTATCGGCCTCGTGGCTTCCGAAGGAACTCGGCTTTCACCATGAGGCGTCATAGTCCTTCTAAATGAAGACCTAACTCTCAGGGCAGAGTTTAAATGGCTTGAATTATTTATTCTGGTTAGCGTTCTTTAGCGAGTTAGTTTTCTACGGGATGGGGTCGCTAACCCCATGTCCAACCCTCCTCCTCTACCCGGGCTTGGGACCGGCAGTAACTCTAGAAGAGCTGTAAGCGGAGTTATGGTAGATGTTTTTCGTAAAAATCATGTTAGTAATAATCTCAGCGATTGAAAGAATCTATGGCATCCTGCAACTAAATCTACACTAATATTTTATCGAATAATGTTCAGATGTTGATTTTAGTGAATAGAAAAAATGAGCCAATAGGATGTGAGTAGTGTGAACAGTTTTATGGTGATTAGAAGTATTCGAATTATTGTGCTAATTATTTCCGAAATAGTGTAATTTAAGGCATGTAGATTTAGGTGAGCACAAATGAACGTATTATATTTGGGATTCGTAATTAGCGCGCAGTCAAGTACAAAGGAATCATCATGTAGTAAACACCACAAGTTCACAAGGTGAAAAAGAATGAGTGTGTACATGCACCTTGTTATTAGTTGAGGTTTGGTTTAAAAAAATCCAGCCTGTCTACTACTAACGATAATTTTTTTTATTAAAAGTAGGGATAATAATACAAATTGAAGTATTTTAGAACGTCGAATTATATGTAAATTGAGGAACGGTAAATACAAAGATGTGAAGTTAAAACAATCAGACTAGCTTTTTTGTCCTGATATAGCAAACAGATATACGCTCTAGAGACTGAAAAGATAAGCAAATGAGTTTAAAACCCACTACCTAGCTGAGAAGATAAAGAACACTAGCAATTTGTAGGACGACTTGTCCTCTAGCGAATAAATTTGTTCTTCATTTGGCTTCCAGATGACTTCCGATTATTTTGTGGGGATTTGGGAAATGAAGTGACAGATGACACTCTAGCACGAGCATTTAACCGCTACCCTTCTTTTCAAAAAGCAAAAGTTGTTCGAGACAAACGTACCAGTAAATCTCGTGGTTATGGTTTCGTTAGCTTTTCTGATCCTGGAGATTTCACACGTGCCATGCGAGAAATGAATGGTAAGTTATAATCTACTTTTACTAGGCTATATACAAAATTTTCTGCTCTGTCCGATTACTTATCTTGATCAATCGAATAAAACGAGATTTTGCTTGTAGTTCCGTACCAATAGATACTAAATCACAAATAACTTCGAAGGTGAAACATAATTTGCTTGTTTTCTTTAGTAGATATAGGATGATAAAATCTAGAAAAACTTCTTTATTATTGGAATCCATTGTCGAACTCTGTACAAGTAAAAAACTGCATATGATTTTGACCATGTGTAGTATAAACTTTTGGTTTGTTTATTTAATAACAGAGAGGTGCTTTCTACAGCTATTACCGTTATTTCACCGACGATGTTTTTTGTCTTATCGACTCAGTAAATACAGCTCATTTGGATGTTACACAGAACGAACATGACTTGGAAAGATGACACGTCACACAAATGCCGATTCGTATAACTGCACTTCACAGAAGCAGAATGAGTGTCTTAAAGACCATTACAGATTAAAGATTCCTGATATTTAGACAAAAGAATACACCTGGGTCCTTGTGATCTATTTCAGCCAGTCTCCTAGCGCCAATAGTGATATAAAGCAAATCGGACTTTTATCCCAAAACATTACTTATGGAATTTCAATTAGAGTAACCAGACATTTAATACTCTCCCATCAAAACCAATTTTCGATAGGAATAATAGAATGTGATGATTGTAGAAAAGACTGGATAAAAAGATATTGGCTGCGTTTTTGGAATATAAGCTATACGACAGTAACTGAAGGAATTCACATTATTTGTCACTACACGAATTCAGTCAGTCATAAATAACGTAAGAACTGTGGCGCATGCTCACCACCCCAAATTACTAGACGACATTAGTACAAAACCATACAAATTACTCCATCTAAAGAACCAGCATTTATTTTATTTTATTTGGACACATAAATATTGGTACAAAGAAGTACCAGATAATATGCGCCGCACAATTATAGTGAGAATGTGAAGAGATAAAGAATGGGAGGTGCGTAAAGGAACAATGAAGTAAGACAATGAACGGAAATTAGTGTATGATAGTGAAATAGAAATAAAGGGAGAGGAAGTTCAGCCACAGCGAATTCTTCCACACAAGGTAATTACGTCCTTTTTCATATGAAGAAAGTAAAAGAAGGTTGCAACAAAATCGCCACTGGCTTCTATTCTGAATCATGTCTGATGACGTCTCAAGCCACTGTGTTGCACCATCTCTAGAACCCCAACCAGGGAGTCGCGAAGGACCAACAGAAGCCAGTTCCTCACAGCTTTCTTTCGTACACGACACCATGTCATACATTGATCACCTATCCGCTTTTTTCAACCAGTCCCGGCGTCGGCAAATAATGCAAGACATGAAATCCTCCGAGACGACATTCGTAAAACATGTCCAAGCCACCGAATTCGATGTTTCAAGATAGTGACACTAATTGAACTATCGTCACTGTGCCCGAACGCACGATTTTGCCACCAGACGTGACCAATCCTTCAGAGACAACGATGATCAAACACCGAGTCTTCTAAAATTCTCAACTCGGAGAGACCATGTTTCACAAGCATAGAGCAGAACTGCTCTCTCCAACGCGTTGTAGATCCGAACTTTTACAGCCAGACTAACATCACGAAGGTATCAAAGATGGTCCAGATTGGTATAAGCCGCTCTGGCTTTCACTATACGTGCATTGATCTCATCACTCACGCCACCACCAGCACTTATGCAGCTACCCAGATACACGAACTTCTCGACTACGTCTATCTGCTCACCATCCAGGGTGAGTACAGGATTAGCATCCTGCCAGTCTTGTAGAAGTACTTTGCACTTCAAAGGTGCAAAGCATATACCGTACCCATGAACACTAATTGCGGGTTGCATGACTTGGGCATTATCGCACAGTAAGACAATATCATCCTCATACTTAAGGTCGAGATTTTCTTCAAACAATAGATCCACGCCGCCACTACCTACATTCATCAGAGATGTTTCCAGAACGTTATCGACAGAAAAGTTGAAGGGGATGACGAGATTGAGCAAGTTTGCCTAACTTCACCGAGTGAATGAAGCAACGATTGTCGACACATGTAGAGTTTATAAAGTACCAAATACGTTCTCACGAGCGGAGACGGTATATACTGTTTGTTTGTACGATACTCTCGAAAGATACTCCGATATGCTACGCCAACATAAACACCTTACAGTTGGATGATTAATTTATAGAGGCAGATATGTTATCACATTTGCAAAACTTGCAATGAAACGGGACTTTAACCAAGTAAATATATTTCCCACACCACTTCGTAGCAACCGGGTTGTCAATATACCTTTTTTTCTAGTGGTGAGTGGGATGCAAATACCCAGGTTCCACACATTGTTCTTTAGTTATGTACAGTTTCTTTTAAATATCCATTTTATTTGAGCGGAAACTGAGTCAATATGTTTTACAGTTTCTATGTTATTTAATACTACTTTTGATGATTGTGAGGTACACTTCTGAACAAAACGCATATGTAGGCTTCGTTTTAGCCCTAATTCTCGCTTTGCTCATGAGATAGCATGGAACCCTTTGTTACAAAAATCTTTTCGACTGATTGTTTGGGATATTTATGTCACTAAGACAGCAAAGTTCTTGAAGTACGCCTGTAGGCAAAATCGCAATATGAGTCGTTAGAAACTTGCAACCATATAAAAGTTTGAAGCAACATCTTATTTTTCTGATAAAGACATGCTGTCAATATCTTATAACATTACGGTTTCTGAAACCTGTTTTAGGTAAATATGTTGGTAATCGCCCGATCAAACTGAAAAAAAGCGAGTGGCGTAATCGTCAACTGGAAGTCCATAGAAAAAAGGAGAAAGAAAAACGAAAACTTGGTTTGAAAAACTGATATTTTTAACCGAAGTCTATTAAATTTATCCTGTGAATATTTTCCTACTTTTGAAATACAAGGACTCAAGATAATCATAGCATTTCCCAGTATTATTTCTATACTTGTTGGAATTAAAACCTTTAACAAATCGTTGTCCTTCTTATGCTGATGGAATTTACTAGACCAGACGAGTTTTGTTATACTTTGAGGCATTAGAGATTATAAGATTGGTTTTTAGAAGGAACTTCATAATCGAGACATGTAGGTTGTTTCTACTTCAACAGTTTATGGTGTTTGTGGTGATAGAACCAACTCTTCAATGACCAGCATAAATTTATAACTGCTAGTTGGTGCTCACATTTACTTTTCTATCAGAGTAAACATGTGTAGTTTATCATCACGGCTATTAGAATAAGTGGTAGTAGAAAGCGTTCTATGTTGCCACACGTAACCACTACAACGTTTTGATGATTTGTTTATTTATTACATAAACACAAACATTGGTTCAAGTCATCACCATATATATATGCGCCATACAAATCATTTGATTTGTGTGAGGACTGGGATACTGCCCGGACACCCAAATCGAAATAGGGGGTTTTCTTAGGGGTTCACTCCTTGAACCTTTGACTAACAGGTCTAATCCACAAGACAGTGGAGCAACGTTGGGAGATGCAGTCCCATGGTAGCCGGTGACCAACAATAGGTTCATACGCCATTTGTTCGCTCAGGATCCTAGAGCCCATGTGCACCATTGGTTTGGAACCATGGTTTTTCAACTCCCCTAGGTGGATCCTCCGTATTCATCAACCCGGTTAGAGCGTCGGACATTCGCGTTTTGTCCTCTCAATTTCGTAAACATTATCTTTGCTCTGAGAAGGAAGTGAGCAGTACTTACTTGTTAGTGGTTGTATACGCGTGGCCATGTGAGAGCATCTCGAGAGGGATAGTTGACTCTAAGCACCTTCGGCCGGACCAGGGCTTTTGGGGGCCAAGCGACACTCAATGGAGATGATAATAACAGTAATCAACTACGATTCAAGATCGGCATCTTATCTACTTTGTACTTACAAACAAGTTGGAACGTAAGATGCTCAGTTTCAGGAGGCGTGTAGTTTACACTTAGTGTGGCTCTTTAGAGTGTACTTGAGGAACTCTTGATGAGTATATTCCACTTATTAGTTGTTATATTCTGTAGGATGGTGGAAAATTATATAGAGAGAGGATGTACTACCACGATCTCGCTTCACTAGCTACGTATTATTTACCAAGTACCTAGAAATTCTCCACCCTCTAATCTATACAGCTACTTCATTCGCAAGTAATCATTGCGTGAGCATCTGAAAAATTCCAAGGGATTTCGCATAATGTTCTGAACATTTTTCCAGTAAATAATTCAGAGAAACTTAGTATCTATCTTGATATGGCATACGAGAAAATCAATGCTAAACTACTATGCCTTTTGGAACCAGCTTATATGGGAGCAGAGACTACTTCAAAAGCGACTATTCATAAATTTAATAAGAAAACGCATCGATTTAAGATGGTGTATATCTTAACCTCACATGTAGAAAATCAATAAACTAAGTGACATCGTAGTTTAACAATCCAAAAATGAATAGAGTAAAGTGACACGAAATATCTCAAGGTACTTGTGAAGTAGGTGTATACATTGAGTTCGTTTTTAACCACACCAGTGCAGCCATCAGTCACTTTTATATAATCGCAACAACCACAAAACTAAACAGCAGTATGAGGTTTCATAAATCTGTGCCATATATGTTATCCCTGTCACTTTTTTCAGTCTAATTATATGTAATTTAGTGTAACAATTGGCTAAGTCAATTTAAAAACGGACTTGGCACGCGAAAAAACAGTAATCAGTTACAAACTTAGAAATTTAATTAAAAATCAACAAGGTTTTTTAATCTGTTTTTAATCGCTTTTTGTTAGCGATTTGCAATCGTTTAGATTGAATTATTAAACTGTTGATCTGTAAAACAAGGAGTAGCTAATGTGAAAATTAAATAGGAATAAGTGAACTTACAACAATTAGTACACTGTTTAAAATAACAGGAATGTTCCAAATACAAGATATGAAATATCCATAACTATCAAAATATTGCTCAGTAGCGAACAAGCTAGAAAGGTTAAAATACTTGCAAAAGATTGTTACTTCCAGTTATTAGCAGCGAATTCATTAATCCGGTGTGAAAACCAAACAGCACCAACTATGTTATAAACAATTATACATGAAACCTTACGGGAAATAAGCAAAATACACAGCAACAAATTTGTACACTTGCGGAAAGTAATTACACATATGGATGTGAGAAAATGAAATCCAATTAGTGAAACTAACCATAGTTCACTGGTCCATGGTATCTAAGTAGAAAATCATAATATGAAATTTACAGACCGATAATATAGTACCATAGATAGTATTTACAGTAGGGTTGGTTGTAATGTCGAGGAATTGAAAACTGAAGTTCATCGGTTATAATTGGACAGAACCCTTAGATCTGAAAATGTCTAAAGATTGGGGATAATGTGAACGGTGAGAATCATAATTCAGTAGTTACATACACGTGTCAAAAATTTGTACAAGAAAATAAGTTAAAATAACCATATTGACAGTGGTGGGAAACCGAAAGGGAATAAGTGATGACAAGTACTACTTAGCACTATGTTCGAACAACATGGTTTCAGAAAGGGCTTGTCTTGCACAACAAACCTCCTTATAGCAAGGGAATCTTGGATAAGGGCGCTAGACAACGGAAACTCAGTGGATGTTGTCTACATAGACTTTAGTAAGGCATTTGACAAGGTGCCAACAAATAGACTGCTATTGAAGTTAGAGAGTTTTGGTATTGCCGGACCTCTCATAAAGTGGGTTTAAGGATTTCCTAGTAGGTAGTAGACAGGAAGTAAGAATAAATTCCAAGTGCTATACCTGAAGATCAGTATTTAGTGGAGTACCTCAAGGTTCTGTCCTAAATCCTTTACTTTTTATACTGTATGTAAATGACCTTTCAAGTATAGTACAGTCTCCAATGTTATTATACGCTGACGATGTAAAAATCTGGCGAGTTATAACCGGAAACGCAGATGCATGTGCACTTCAGGCAGACTTAAATAATGTGATTAACTAGTATAGAGAGTGGTTGATGCCTATCAACGCGGCAGTGTGTACATGCACTTCGGGGATACATAGATTAATAGGTACAGCATAGGGGAAGTGTCTGTACCCATGGTCCGGTCTCATAAGGATCTTGATGTGACAGTGAGTCATGATTTTAAAACCACGGCCCATTGACGGGAGGTCGCAGCTGAGGGGTTCAGAACCCTCTGGACTCACCAAGTTAGATACTACCATGTTCATCACAGTATACATAACCTTAGTGACGACTAAGCTTGAGAACTGCGTTCAGGCTGCAAGCCTCTGTTTAAAAGGTGATTCGGATATCCTGGAAAACGTACAGAGGGCAGCTACCCGTGCGATTCCAGAACTTTTGGGTTTGCTTTACAAAGAGCGGACTGAAATGTTAGACCTCTTTAATCTGTCCTATCGCAGATTGAGAGCTGATCTATTTTTGATGTATAGAACACTAAGAAACGATTTTCGACCTAATATAGTCTTTTTCTTCCCACTAGACTGGGACATCTCAGAGGACATAGCAGGCGAGTAAAGAAGCCAAGAACGAACAAAATACCAGTGGCATACATGTTTTCACACCGAGTCCGCAATTCTTGGAACCTGTTACCCGAAGTCGTTTTGTTCGCACCTTCGATTGACTCATTCAAGAGAAGACTGAACACTCATAGAACCATACTAGTAAGGGAATAACATAGGCCGTAGGCCTTCTGTCTTTACTACACAAATATGAAATATGTGGCTCATATGATAGTCTCTTTAGTTAACTCTGCTTATAATTTTTATACAAAGGAATTATATCGTTTTATATTTGTCAGATGAGTAAAAACTATTATATTACGCTTTTAATAGGAAGAAATAATCGAGTTAGTTGCAAAAGATTTATTTATCTGAACACATAAATATTGGTACAAGAGTGCGCCAAATATATATGCGCTACACAAAACAGTGAGAATTTGAAGAAAAGAAAAAAGGTAAGGAGCGTTAAAAAAGGGAACGATAACGAAGAGATTGGTGTAAGGTAGTGTAATAATAATAATAGTAATAATGGGGGAACGGAAAGGTACAATCAGGAGAAATCTTTCAGTTGAGATACAACCACTTTTTATGAAGAAAGTAAAAGTTGACAGCAGGATCGCTACTGGCTTCGATTCTGGGCCATATCTGATAACGTCTCTAGCCACTGTGTAGCACCATCTCTAGGACCCCAGCCAGGGAGTCGTGAAAGACCAACACAAGCCAGTCCTTTGTAGCTTTTTTTTTCATGCCACGACACCATGTCATATACTGACCACCTCTCCGTTTTTTCCAACCAGTCCCAGCGTTGCAAGAGAACTAGTAGTGGACAAAAAACTATGCAAGAATCTGTGAACTATGCTGAGCATTACAATATGCTTCCTAGGAATAGCTGTTTATTGAAAAAAGTGCAGAGGGCAAAAAGTCTTAGGTCTTTATATATTGAGGCCTCGGTGGATTTTTCGGCTTAGAAATTACATAATGTTTGCATCACCACTAGGCAGGATGAGACAAGCATATCGTTCGCTTCCCTAACTTCACCTGAAAACGGGATGGGTCCCATCCCAGTAAGTCACCTGTAAGATCAAGTGGTTTATCAGATTTGATAGGTTGTATACAGTGATGCAGAACATGTTGTCAGATATTACTGACTTGAGTGCAAATGTAAAGCTGCCGCTAGCGAAGTTCAGTGAACGCGAACATCCGCATCAATTCGATTGCGAACTATCAAGTCAGCAGTTTCCTTTGTCCTCTGAAGAGGAACTGCAGATGCTGGACACTGGTTTGCAGCAGAAAGAAATCAGGGACATATTAGTAAGTCAACAACATTAGTTTTATAATTTGTTCGTATTACAGATGGCCATAGTAACGAGGTTAATAGATAATGATCCTAAAACCTCAGTGCGATATGTTTTGTCGTACCTCATTACACGTGAGGTTGCCAGTAATTTCACGCTACTTGGCATTTCTTTAAAACGAGCACTTCAGAAATGCCGGCTTTACGGCTGCTTACGAAGTAACCTATATCTATTATTTAAACTTCAGGTGCATTAACCAATCGCTTTTTGTCATCATCTGTCAACGAAAAAGACCTTGCGAAACTGTATGATATCACGACACAAGATTATTTTCACGACGTCAGAGACAAATTGGTAAAGCGTAAAAGGGGGAAACAAGGACAGGTATGTACTAATTTAAAGTGATAACTTTCCTACTGCTCTATAGTTACATTCAACAGTGTTAACGAACATAACCGTAAGTGAAGCTTCAAGTATCTGGCTGTGCCAAAGCATGTCATTCAGATATCGTTGTAACGTAAGTCTTTATTCCCCCTTTATTGGTTGCCTGGGTTCTTTCGTTCTTTACACTTCAGAATTCACAGGAATATTATTTTCATTCTCAATAGCCGAACATGCGTGGCTAAAGGAAGTAACCCGTGATGTTTTGTATGTTCTACTTATTTTTCAATAAACATTATTTTGTAAATGAGCTTACTTTCTTACTTACAGGGGGAACTATATAAGTGTTGAGAAAGTGTGTTTGATTGTCAGTGAACTTGCGATTAAATAAACATGCCTTATAATTAATACATCACGTTTCTTCTTTTGCAGATCTTTTCAAATAACAATGAATTGGCAATCACAATGAAAATGAATAACGATTGATGCTCAAGCTTCTGCTATAATGTTGTACAATAATACGCTTGTCCTTTTCAATAAATTTACTTAAACACATACCACTTTTCCCGTGGATTGCAGTTTTAGTGTGGCTTGTCGTGGGGATAAAGGCGAACATAGGAAACCTTTTGGGTTATGACAATGGTGTTTTAAAAGTTGAGGCAGAAGTAGACAATTCAGCTGACGATATCAAGATAAGGAGAACGATACGATGTAAGGATGATAGCTTAGAACTCCAAAATGACCTGAAGAGATTACCTGAATGGTCTCAAACCTGACAGCTGCCGATAAATACTTCCAAGTGTGTTGTGATGCATATCGGTCATCAAGGTACAGATATATACACGATGAATAACACTGAGCTACCTGTCGTCCAGACATAAAATGACTTAGGAGTCATCGTTAGCCGAGACTTAAAGACTACTGTATACTGGCGTGCAATAGCCGCCAAAGGTTTTAGAACCTTATGGTCAATACCCAGGGCTTTTAGTCATGTCGACGCTAAGACGTTTTTGACTTTGTATACAGTGTTCGTACGTCCTAAACTTGAGTACTGCATACAAGCGGCTAGCCCCTGCTTAAAAATAACAGTGAGCTTCTGTAAAAGGTTCAGAGAACGGCAACTAAGCTGATTCCTGTATGAAGCTCGACTGGCCAAGCTGATTCTTTTCCCGTTGTCATATCAGAGAACTAGAGGCGACTTGATTACAGTTTTCAAATTGTTTAGTGCCAAATTTGCACCTGATATGCCCTCATTTTTCTTGTCTTTTGAAACAGAGAATTTACGAGGGCACTCCAAAAAAGTTCACAAGCCCAGAACAAATTACTTGTCAGCTGACTATCGACTTTCCCATCGAATCATCAACGAGTGGAATTCACTAACTTAGCACGTGGTTGAGGCTCCATCCGTCGATTCTTTCAAAAGAAAGTTGGATCAACTGAGGGACCACCATTGCCATGACTAACATAGGCCATCAGGCCTCCTGTCCTTCCCAAACTGAAACTGACGTATATTTTGGCGAAAAGTAAACAATTCCGCGACATTTGAGCTACAAAAAGGCGGAAATCCGCATTATATTCCCCGGACAGGCAAAACAGCAGACATTTTGACGCTTTTTCCCCTTATTTTTCCTTTGTTCGCCTTTATTTCCCTTTTGTTTGTTGATTGGGCACTACGCAGGATGAGACAATCATATCGTTCGTTTCCCTAATCTCATTTGAGAACAGGATGGGACCTAAGCAACCAATAAACGGAAAATAAAGCGGAAGAAACCGTAAACAAACGGGAAAAGTCGGTTCTCTCACCTTACGTCGAATATTTTGGGAGATCTGTAGACAACGCACAGAGTCTGAATATGCCGCGCCCTCAAATGGTTCAAATGGTTGTGGACGGAACAGAAGAGTCTTTCGCTATAGGGCTTCCGTGTCTAGTAGCAGTGGATCACCAATGCCTCCAGGCAGGAACCTAGATTTATTGATGATAATAGAGGAAAAAAGAAATTGGTAAATCATAGTAAGATATTATACTTGGTCCTTAAGAATGGGTCAAGTTACCTCTTAAAGGAATCCTGGGAAATCGCTTGAACTAGCTCAGACGGAATCGGATTCCAGCATTTGACAACTCTAAATGAGTAGAAGTTGTGTCTT